TACAGACAGGTGTGTTTTATCAGGGTTGGAACTGAACTCTGCAGGAAGGTAGATCTCCAGGACCAGGGTTGGGCACCCCTGACATAAACTAACAAGCATTTATTAATCTTAGTTAATGTTGGTTCCAACATTTACTAATACATTATTCAAAAGTTGTATCTATTAATGTTATTTAATGGACCTTGGCTAAAATGAATGTAACAGTGAACAGCTGTATTTTTATTAACTAATGTTAACAAAGATTAATTAATACTATAACAAATAAAGGCCTTCAGAAGCAAAGTGATGCATTTGTGTAAAAAAAAAACCATCCATGTATAATAGCTTTCGCTAACTGTCATGCACGCGTTCATGAGTGAGTCGTATTCCAGCGGATGATGAAGGTGTAGTGTGAGCTCCGCTGAGAATTTGCTAGTCTCACCAGTTTTGTTTACAGCAAAGGAAAACCAGTCTCCTCTTGGCTTATATCGAAATCCTACAACATTTTTCTTTACAAATCCTTTGTTTTGTACTTATAATTTGTGACTGGTGTTTTGTTTTGCTCTCTCCTCTGCACTTCCGCATTCGTCAACGCGTTTGCCTACGTACTGCGTCATCCGCTGGAATGCCACTCTCTTGTGAATGCGAAGAGACAGTAAGACAGTAAGCGGAAGCTAGAGATTATGGTTTATGAAGTTTTGCATATGAATACTTTTCTTGCAAAAAAGCATTGCTTCACTTCAGAAGATCTTTATTAACTTTTTATGATGGATGGATGCACTTTTTTAGGCTTCAAAATCCTGACCCCCATTCACTGCCATTATAAAGCTTGGAAGAGCCAGGACATTTTTTGAAGAAGAAAGTCATACACCTAGGATGGCTTGAGGGTGATCATGGGGTAATTTTCATTTTTGGGTGAACTATCCCTTTAAGTATTTCAGACAAGTGTGCTTGTGCTTGTGTTTATTATCCTTGAGAAGATGCTTACATGGTAACCTGAAATGAATTCAGAATGGTGCCAATTAAAACAGCATTGCGCAATGTTAAGGTAAAGGAGATGAGCTTGTTGACAAAACCTGAGCAATCATTATGAAAGCAAGAGATTCGCTGGAATTGCAGGTGAATGTTTGGGTAAAAGATACAGGCAGTCATGGCTGTCTGCTGTGTCGGTCTGTTTTGTGTTGACATCATACAGGCTGGCATTCAATGCTTCTAGTGCTCGCTGACATTAAGTATGTATGTAAGTGTGTATTAAGTATGAGGGTCGAAAGTCCTGGTTATCAGTTAATGTCCATTTGTGTAAGAGTCACAAAATAGCGTCATTTTCTTAAGAGTTGTAGATTAACTTAATGGACTATCTCATATCTGGAGGTTTTACTCCTGTGAACTTGGCACTTAACACATTAACTGTAAACCAGATGCAGATGTTTTTTGAAAAAGTCTCATGTTCATCAAGGCTGCATTATTTGATTAAAAATACAGTGAAAATAGGAATATTGTGAAGTGTGATTACAATTATAAATAACTGTAAATAAAATGTAAATTCTGTGATGGGCAAAGTTGAATTTTCATCAGTCATTACTCCAGTCTTTAGTGTCACATGATCCACCAGAAATCATTCTAATTTGCTGATTTTGTGAAAACAATTGTGCTGCTTGATATTTTTGTGGAAACTGTGATGCAGTTTTTTTCTGATTTTTTGATGAATAGAACATTGAAAAGAACAGCATTTATTTCAAATATAAATAATTTGTACCATGTCTTTACAAAAACAAAATATCTTTTTGAACGTTTTCATGCATTCTTGCTGAATTTGAATAAATTTTATTATTTTTTTAAATTAAAAAAAAAGGTCTTACTGAGTGTACCCTGTATTCAAATGGCATGCATTTTATAATGTTTCTTAGGAACTTTTTTTGAAGTTCTGCTGAAAAAAAAAAAAAAAAACGCACACACACAAAAAAAGCCATTGATAGGTTAAAGAAGAAGATACCTTTAGGGAAAGATAACATTTATCTCATGTTGCATCTGGTAAGGACGTGGTGTTATGATGACCAAAAGCTGTTTTCTTACACGAAATAGCTTAGTGTTAAGAGAGAGCAGACAGGAAATTCACTGATTATGTTTCATGTTTTATTGAACTTTCTCCTGTTTTTATGTGAATCAATTTTGGCCTAAGGGAGAATTCAGTTTAACAGACCAAACAAATATGCAAGCTGTGACATCTCAAAATCTATGTTTGTTTTTAACTCAAACTCATGACAAGTTATTTTGAATTTTTGTGATGTGAAAAAATGTGTAATGTGGCGGTTTCTTGTTTAGTGGGATGCTAATACAATGTAGCCACTTATCCACAAATGGTATTTAAAAAGGTAAAGATACACTTAAACTTGTGACCTTTTGATATTTATGTTTGCTAAAGCACTTGCATCTGAAAGATGAAGTTATACTTGTATTTATACATACATTTAAGAAATTGAAACTAAACAGTATATTCTTATGTAATGACAATGTGTTTATTTTACCCGTTGTTAGATAATATCAATTTTGTGGTTGTTTCAAAGTGTCTTCCAGCACATGTACACTTTTGGCCTTCTTTCTTTGGATGCATGGCTTATGTGCAGCACAACCTACCTATTTATCAGAAGTTTAATATTTGCTTAATATTTTTGCTTTTTTTAATTAAAAATTGTACGGTTGTACAGTAAACATTCAAACATATCCAAAAAATGTTTTCTGGATTCTGTGAACAGTACTAAATAATAATTACTGATTATTTACTTCAAAGTTGTCCTTCAAAAATAATTACTGATAATTTCACAAGAATAACAATACACAGTTCAGACAAAACTTTCAAATATTTGATGCAAGTACCTTGCAGACTTTGATAAAATCCAGTGATTTTTTCATCCTTATTTATTGTAAAATTCTAGCTGTATCAACCTGTTACCTGGTAAATATTAATTTATTTTCAAGTAGAAAACCTTGTGTGTCCCTACTTCCAAAAAGCAACTAAAAATAGCCAATAACCTACTATGCAGATAGTGAACAAAGTAACTATACGTTAAAATATAACACTGCATAGTCTTTTACATGTGAATTAAGTAGACATTAATTCTTATTGTTACTAATGTTATACAGTGAAGAGTACTGAATGATTTTCTTATTTTCTTTTGTTTGATTAACATTAAATCAGAGACTGCAGCAGGTTTGTTATTTTATCATTTTAAGACCGAATGCACAGATAAGCATCCGATTACTTTCCCAACTACTTAAAACATAACTGACTGCGTTTACACATATTTTTGGTGTGTTTTTGTTCATTTAAACGCACACCCGAAGCCCAAAGTAGCCTATACTTGTTCGTGTTTCACTCTGTTTTGGATCGTGCACACAGTTGAAAAGGTGGGGAAAAAATGTGCTTAAACATTTTCTCTTCAGAGATGTATAAAGATTCAAAGCTTATCTCCAACATTATTCCTTGACATATAGTTACTGTCCAACTTAATCTCTTGTTTTGTTTTCAGTGGAATCTCTCAGCTCTAGTTTCTAGTCTCTTCTACTGGATGGATTTACAGCAAACACAAGCAATATTTACATTTATGAGAGATACTCTGGGCTTTATAATTGGTTTGTTTTTTGGGTGGCCTGTATTTCGAGTGTCTGTGTGTTTCTTATGGTGAGACCGCAGGCCACACTTTCACTGACACACATCTCAACAATTTTAAGAGCTGAGCTGGGGTTTTAGTGTTGGCCAGCTCTCTCTTTTATGTTTTCCTTCCTGTTGTTCTTTTCCCTATTCTTTAAGAGGCCTTATGACATTTTGATAAGTGCATTTGAACTTGGTGAATGGTGAATTTGAGCCTGTGCACTCTGGGTTAGACATACCCCATAGTAATGCGGTTTGACAAACAATGAAATTGTAACAAGGCTGTTCTATTATGCCCTCTTCTGTTTATAAATGTGTATTTTACATTTATATGATCCCTTTAACAAGGTACACAGAAAGGTACAATGGAGGATTGTGTGGTAAATACTACAATCCATAGAAAGTGTTTAATAAATGCTTTGACACCTTACCATTATTCTTCCACAATAATAGCTGAATTTCTTACATCTAAGAGCTTAATATATATATTTTTTTTCAGCCATTAAACCACGAACACTTTTGAGATGTTACTGTGACAGGTGGCAACAAAGACATCAGCCAACAAAAAATGTAAAAATGTTTTTTATTTTATTTATTTATTTATTTAGATTTCTTCAAAAATATTGCATAGCCATCTGTTAAAAGCATGCAGAAATATAGCTATATATAATATCTACTAACATTTATAATTTTTCATGAAATAATGTACTCTATATTGAAAATGAGTAGCATCATAAAAATATAACATATTAAGTATTAGAGTGGTCAGACCCACCACTTAACTTTTTTACCAACTTGAACCAATTAGGTATTACTACAGACTTCAATTGAATCTGAGGACAAAATGTGAAATAATTTTGCCACCTATTTTTATATATA